AATAATAATCGCACGCCACTTATCCTTCATTATCCATAAAAAAATGCTTGATGAATCAAATCGAACGTCGTCCGCGCAAAGGACGTATAGACTCAAGGATCGGGAAATATACACTTATATTTTCTACCAATTTTCTATTATTACGGCGTTATCAGTGATGTTTGGCGACAAGGTTGACTATAGATTACTATTTCTTAAAACATGTTCCACGCAATTAACAAGCATCTGTGTCGAGAATTCCAATAATCGTTTTTAATTCGAGGCCGAGCTTCGTTTCACGTGTGAAGTTATTCGAATTGAAAAAAGTGATTTTTAAGATAAAAATCGAGAAAGCATCTACATATTATATGAGATTCAAAAAGATGTACTTCTAAAATTAATTATATTTTGAATTATATCAGATTTATAATTAATTCATAATAATGTATTTAATTTTTAAGGATCATGGAAATTAATGAACTATGTACGTTAAAGGAAAGAATATTCTTACATTATAATGCAAAAAGAGTGTCGTTGTGAAGGACATAATTATATATCTTCATTATTCTATAAAAAGCTCCTCTCTCTCTCTCTCCCTCTCTCTTTCTCTCTCTCTCTCTCTCTCTCTCTCTCTCTCTTCTTCTCTCTCTCACACTCAATTTGCAATCTTATCATCAATCTTTTTGATAAATGATAAGTCAAGTAATAATTTATTGCCTTTAATGGGGCGATCTCAAACTTGTCAAACTTGTTGGTACGGCTATTAATAACGACATTGAGTGACACTCAACCACTATTAATTAGATTATTGGCTCTTTATGATTGATTATCCAGACTAGTAAATTTTTTGTCCCATCATTTTCATAAACAATTTACCGTTAAATCTTTAAAGAATGAAAGAAGAAGAAGAAGGTGTGCAATAACTGTCAATAATTATAAAGTTAATTAATATAATCTGAGCGTTATTATGTTAATTTTTTCTGAAGGCCTTCTCTAAAGATGATAAAAATATTTTCGATAGTTAAAAAAAGTATACATTTTTGTTTTCTATTTCTTTATCGCACTAACATTTGCTATTAGAAGCATTTAGATTCGTAATGTCTCGATTTGATTTTTTACAGTTCATCTACAAATAAGCTAATTATTATCTATTTAATTAATCTTATTTATTTCTCAAATTTAAAACTCTTTTTCTAAACTGATAAACCCAAGAGTCGTAATATAAATATATGCTTAAGTAAGCGCGGTAGAGCCTTTTATGCTTGATCGAAGATCATGCAAAAATCAAATACTTATTACAACATTTAACTCACGATAAGCATTTGATTTCTGCATCTTCGATTGCGAACTTCCTTTATCTGTAGATATACCTTAGAGATGCAAGTTAAATATGTATACTATTTATAATAATCAGTACGTTAATGAACGCTTAATACTTTGTGAAGATATCGGATAGCGTTATCACCAATTTTCCCATTTTCAGATGCTCTAATAAAAGAAACGCAATACATACGATTCGATTTACATTTAACTCGAGTTATAATGATATAGAATGTCAATCATGATATTAGTGAAGGCAAACAAATTGAAAGACCAATTGCATCTAGATTACTTTATGTGATCAAAAATAGCAATTTTACTATGACGTGTTACTTCTCGAATGGTAATACAAGAACAATAATTAAATAGTTTCACGTATTTGAATGTTTGAGACTTATGAAAGATTCGATATATAAATTCTATCGGCATTGCGCCGCATGAAAGAGAAAGAAAGAGAGAGAGAGGGGGGGACAGGAGGGAAAAAAGGAAGCTAGTTAATTCCGCGATGTCGATTCTTACCAGTCGAGATATCCATCGGCGAAGGGCGGGTTAATTGCACGACAAACCACGGAGATACGCTGGACACGTTGTCCTTGAAATGTGTCCGAGGCTGCGAGTTCGTTTAGATTTAATTCCCTGAAGTAGCAACAACAGCAGCAATAGCAACATCAGCAGCAGCAGCAGCAGCAGCAGCAGCAGCAGCAACAGCAGCAGCAGCAGGTGGTAGACCTGTTTGAAACGGTTTATAAATAAACCATGTTACCCTCTTAACAGCCTATCATTACTTGCGCGCATCTTCGAACCGTCTGGCATTTATATCCGCTGCTTAGGGTATCCGTTTACACTTTGATAGTAAACGATAGTAACAGCCGAATGGCTTCTCATTATGCTTTATGCACGCAGCGATGCGCCGTGCAACAAAATGTATCTGCAATATGTATCTGCAATACTTTACGATAGACAACGTGGAATCTTGCGCAACGTTAATTGCCCATAAAAGAAATGAATAAGGAATAAATGCACATTGTAGTTGTAACAATAAATGACAGGATTAAACTAAAATACTTATTGGTAATAACCAAAGGATACAAATTACTCTCATATTACAAAATACAATTTCTCTGTAAAATGAATCATTATAACTAGCAAATAAAAATTTCTTTTTTCGATTAAACTAAACTTTATTTTCTTTGGAATTTGCATTTAATAGATATATATATCACAAACAAATGTTTTATATGTATATATATATCTACACACACACACACACGCGCGCGCGCGCGCACGCACACACACAGACGCGCACACCTATAAAACTAAGCGCGGTTAAGTTCTATTGATGTTTTTTCTGATCTATTATTTATTTTGCACTAGCATTGATGTTCAGCATGCAAAATAGATTGCATGCTCTTTCGCATAATCGTAAACACACCTGTGATTGAAAGCAATGACCACGTGGAATAATCTTGATTAGCATTCAGCGAACGATCAACGGTGTAAACGGAGCCGGACAACAATCGCGCCATAAAATGTTTCATTCAACGCTGCGGAAATTTCTCCAAGCATACCGTTTTATAATGTAGGTTATTCACACAAATTTAATGTGATAATTTAACAAAATATCAGCTGCATCAATTGTAGCGTACATCGCATAAAGTTTAAAAATTTAAATATTTTATATCCGCAATCCATATTAAAGAAAATTTAATCTTTATATTTAAAAAAAAAATTTTTTTTTTCGTGAAATCGCACGATCAAATTTAATATGTATTAAATATGTATTAAATACGCTGTTAAATGTGATCTAAAGATTGCAAAAATATGAAATAAATTGTATGAAACAAATTTTGCAACGCACGATTGGCATTGACAATGAATTTACAATCTGAACATGACACGATAAAGTTATGGATATACGATAAAATTATGTCTTCTGCAAGAAGACATAATTTGATGTTATGTGGTTATCGCGTAATAACATTCTTTTCACTAAACGAAAAGAAAAGATCATCAAACGAGATTGAAACAGGTTTAAATTATCCTCTATATAGAATATTACCGCGTATCTCGTTTCAGTAATAAAACTTTTTATTTTTGTTTGAATGTTAATTAATGGTAATTAATATTTAACAAAAAATTAGAATTAATAATAAACTATATCTCTATATCATCGCCTATAGCGACTTATGCTAGCATTTCCTGTTGATAGATCTCACAATTAATTTCTCACCGTTGCTCGTAGTTTCCATCTTGATAAACAGTAGCGAACTGCATATATATATTCATCAATAGAGCTGCAGATAGTTGAAGAGATAAGATGCATATGATGACGTTTTTTGATGGAAGCTTTAACATGCTTTAAGTTGCGCTCTTATCGAATAAATTATTAAACAGAAGTGGATAGTCTTCGAAATAGCAGGGTCAATAACCAAGATAGTTAACATACACAGTTAGACTTATAAATTGTTCGGCAAAAAAAACTAACACTTCTTCTGAATCTAAATATAATTTATTTAATAAATAAATTGTGATTATGTCATCATGTTTTTATTTAATCAAATAAAAATAACATAAAAAGATCACAAGATTAAAATTATTGTGAACTGTTCTTCCAAATTCAGTTCCTTAGATTTCATCTATGTAATATATATATATATATATATATATATATATATATATGCATGTATATATGTAAATAATGTAACAGTTCTGTTAATGGATAAAATGAATAAATATGGATAATAAGTATGGTACATTCAAATTTTCATGTTAATATAGACATCGTTAATATAAATAACATGCTCATTTCAAAAATCAGATCATGATTTATTTATAATACAATGAAAAGTTAATGAAAGTATTATAAAGTTGAGAAAAAACTTTCAATTAAAAAATTAAAACTCTTTAACTGTCGATAATTAATAGAAAAAAGTTTTCGCTTATTAAGCAAACTATGATGATAATTTGCTTAATAATATTTGCGAAATTTATCTTTGATTCTTCATTAAAAATGTACTTTAAGAAATTGTACTTTAAGAAATATTATCAGTTTCTTTATTTTAACAAAATTTTTGCATTATAATGATTAATAATTTTATTATGTTTCTGATTATAGATAAGTTGAATATATAAACACAAAAGATGTGGAAAGTTCAACCGATTTTGAGCATTTTCACGATTTTGCTCATAATAAAATTTACAAAAGCTGGTAAGAATTATTTATGTACTTTTTCAATAAATTAGACCGCATTGTGAATATTAGACCGCATTGTGAATATACAAATAAATATTAAATAAATATTAAATAATATTTCAATGTGGATTTATATACATAGTTCTATAACTGAACGGGCGCCGAAATAATTTCGATTTCGAATACATGTTAAACTGAAACTGAGATAGTAATATCATAAATTAAATTGACTTTAATGATACTGATGCTAATAAGTATCTTAAAAAGCTATAAATAATTTATTGCAAAAAATTATAGAACTGAATATGTATAGAAATTCACAAAATATTATTTAAGTATTAAATGTGCTTAATCTTTCTTTATTTTCATCTTAATTTATTTTTAAAAAATTAATAAAAGATAAATTGTAAATAAAAGATAATTTGTAATATGTAAAAATTATATGATAATATTTAGTCAATTAAGGCCAACTTAAATTTGAGTGTTTATTAATGTTATTGAATTGCAGATTATTACGAGTATAATCAAGATCAATATCGACAAAGCAATGCTCCTTTTAAATGTATAGAAGAAGGTTATCATCCCGATCCGCATGACTGCAGAGTTTACTATAGATGTGTAGATTGGGGCAACGGCAGTCCGCTGACGACCTTCAAATTTGAATGCGGAGTAGGCACAGTGTTCTCGAAGGATAAGGGAGATATTTGTACGCATCCAGAAGATAGTGGTCGACCTGAATGTGGCAACTCCGAGAATGAACTCGATTCAAATGTACAAGATCCTCCTCCTACATGGGCAACAACAATACGAACAACTATGTGGTCACAATCAACTATGATACAGTCCCCAATAACTAAACCATCTACAATCACAACTGAAGTTGCGACAACAATAAAAAAACCGGAAACAACAATACTACCATCACTAACAAATCGACCACCTACAGACGAACCGGAGAATAACGTTATTAATTGTCAAAATGAATATCAAAAATGTACACAAGAAGGATTTTTAGCCGATACTTGTAATTGCAAAAAATTCTACAGATGCGTAAATGAAGGTTATGGAAGGTTTACAAAATATGAGTTTAAGTGTGGCGAGGAAACTGTTTGGGATCCAGAAATTCAAGCATGTAATCACGCTTGGGCTGTTACAAGGAAAGACTGTAGGCAAAACTTGGAAAGTGGGAATAATAATGGACAATGGAATGGTGATACTGGTCCAGGACAACCTGGAGATCCAAATAGTCAACCAGGACAACCTGGAGATCCAAATGGCCAACCAGGACAACCTGGAGATCCAAATGGTCAACCAGGACAACCTGGAGATCCAAATGGTCAACCAGGATCACCGGGTAGCCCAGGCTCTCCGGGATACCCAGGGACACCAGGTTCTCCAGGCTCGCCGGGATATCCGGGGACACCAGGTTCTCCAGGCTCTTCAGGTTCACCGGGTAGTCCAGGCTCTCCGGGATATCCAGGAACACCGGATTCTCCAGGCTCTCCGGGATATCCGGGGACACCAGGTTCTCCAGGCTCTCCGGGTAGTCCAGGCACTCCAGGATACCCAGGAACATCGGGTTCTTCAGGCTCTCCGGGATATCCGGGGACACCGGGTTCTCCAGGCATTTCAGGTTCGCCGGATAGACCAGGCTCTCCGGGATATCCGGGAACATCACCGGGTTCTCCAGGTACTCCGGGTTCTCCGGATAGTCCAGGTTCTCCGGGATATCCGGGGACATCGGGTTCTTCAGGCTCTCCGGGATACCCAGGATCACCGGGTTCTCCAGGCTTTCCAGGATATCCGGGAACATCACCAGGTTCTCCAGGCACTCCGGGTTCTCCGGGTAGTCCAGGTTTTCCGGGATACCCAGGAACACCGGGTTCTCCAGGCACTCCAGGTTCGCCGGGTAGTCCAGCCTCTCCGGGATACCCAGGAACACCGGGTTCTCCAGGAACTCCAGGTTCTCCGGGTAGTCCAGGCTCTCCGGGATACCCGGGGACACCGGGTTCTCCAAGTTCGCCAGGATATCCAGGGACACCGGGTTCTCCAGGCACTCCAGGTTCGCCAGGTAGTCCAGGCTCTCCGGGATATCCGGGGACACCAGGTTCTCCAGGCTCTCCGGGATATCCGGGGGCACCGGGTTCTCCAGGCACTCCAGGTTCGCCGGGTAGTCCAGGCTCTCCGGGACACCCAGAAACACCGGGTTCTCCAGGTTCTCCGGGATATCCGGGAACACCGGGTTCTCCAGGCACTCCAGGTTCGCCGGGTAGTCCAGGCTCTCCGGGACACCCAGAAACACCGGATTCTCCAGGCTCTCCGGGATATCCGGGGACACCGAGTTCTCCAGGCACTCCAGGTTCGCCGGGTAGTCCAGGCTCTCCGGGACACCCAGGAACACCGGGTTCTCCAGGAACTCCAGGTTCTCCGGGTAGTCCAGGCTCTCCGGGATACCCGGGGACACCGGGTTCTCCAGGCTCGCCAGGATATCCAGGGACACCGGGTTCTCCAGGCACTCCAGGTTCGCCAGGTAGTCCAGGCTCTCCGGGATATCCGGGGACACCAGGTTCTCCAGGCTCTCCGGGATATCCGGGGGCACCGGGTTCTCCAGGCACTCCAGGTTCGCCGGGTAGTCCAGGCTCTCCGGGACACCCAGAAACACCGGGTTCTCCAGGTTCTCCGGGATATCCGGGAACACCGGGTTCTCCAGGCACTCCAGGTTCGCCGGGTAGTCCAGGCTCTCCGGGACACCCAGAAACACCGGATTCTCCAGGCTCTCCGGGATATCCGGGGACACCGAGTTCTCCAGGCACTCCAGGTTCGCCGGGTAGTCCAGGCTCTCCGGGACACCCAGGAACACCGGGTTCTCCAGGCTCTCCGGGATACCCAGGAACACCGGGTTCTTCAGGCTCTCCGGGATATCCGGGGACACCAGGTTCTTCAGGCACTCCAGGTTCGCCGGGTAGTCCAGGCTCTTCGGGACACCCAGGAACACCGGGTTCTCCAGGCTCTCCGGGATATCCGGGAACACCGGGTTCTCCAGGCTCTTCGGGATACCCAGGAACACCGGGTTCTCCAGGCTCTCCGGGATATCCGGGGACACCGGGTTCTCCAGGCATTCCAGGTTCGTCGGGTAGTCCAGGCTCTCCGGGACACCCAGAGACACCGGGTTCTTCGAGCAGTCCAAACATTCCTGGATCTCCTGAAAATTCAGATTCACCGAATTCATCTGTTAATCAACCATCAACAGGTATGATAATCTAAAATATTATATATGTGTATACTATAGTTTCACTATTAGTATAAACAAAATCTTATTTTAGGTATTTGTACAGTAGAAGGCTTTTTCTCTGATCCACAAGATTGTCACAAGTTTTATCGATGTGTCGATAACGGCATGTCCTCTTTTATAAAATACGACTTTCAATGTGGTGCTGAAACTGTTTGGGATTCGTCCATTCAGAGTTGCAATTATGCTTATGCTGTACCGCATTGCAATCAGGCAAATGGTGCAATTACAGATAAACCTGACACATCGCTAAATGAAATAAATAGTACAATTGGATCAGATACAAGCAAATTACCATCGCAATCTTCTGAAAGCTCAACTTTCTTACCGACCTCTTCAAAACCAGAGATACAATCTTCGGCTCAACCTGATAGCACTACCGATAATCCCATTGCACCATCTCAGACGACGTCAACTTCTTATTTACCACCTAGTAGTACATACTCGTCGACAAAAGTTACCGAATCTGTTTCTTATGTTCCTCCTGCATCACAAACGACTACATCTGTATCTTATTTGCCACCCTCGACTACCAGCGAAATATCTGAATCTACACCCGAATCTATTTCATATTTGCCACCTGATATTAGTACAACTACTTTGCCAAGTTCCGCTTCGTCAGCTGCATCTTCATCTCAGAATGAAAAATACAAATGCACTAAAGAAGGTTTCTTTCCGGATCCTGATAAGTGCGAAAAATTCTATCGTTGCGTTCAAGACCAATCCGGATATCAAAAATACGAATTTAAGTGCAGTCCTGGCACAGCATGGGATCAATTAATACAAACGTGTAATTATATTGCTAAAGTAGCTTCATGTTCATCAGGTAGCAATGAAATCGATCAAGGCCTTGATTCCAGTACTCCTCCATCTGAACTCCCTGCCATGAGTAGTTCCACAACTGTTTCTAATCAAACAATTACGACTACATCTCCAATTCCAATTTCTACCGATAGCACTACAACTGCCAGTACTCCAAATGAAACATCAGACAAAACAGAATCATCATCGACAACAAGTACTATCACAACCGTTAGTAGTGAAAATTCCGCTTCAGAAAAACCAGAAGAGATTCAAATGCCTGGTTCTAGTACAGAAAGTTCATCCGAATCCTCATCTGAAACTACTTCTGAATCAAATGAAGGATCATCTTCATCTACATCAGAGTCACATGCACCAGATTGTGCGATACAAAAGCCGAGCGACGCAATAGTATGCAATAACGAAGGATTTTATCCGCATCCAACTAAGTGCAATGAATTCTATCGCTGCGTCAATAATAGTAATGGTTTCAATGTATATCATTTTAACTGCCCACTAGGCACTATTTTTGATTCTAGCATCAATGTATGTAATTATCCTAAATCTGTTTATCCTGCAAAAGATTGTACGACTGGAAATACTTCAAGCAATGTAGAATCGACAACTCAATCCGGAACACCTGAACAATCGACATCAGAGGGAACTACTACTGTAGCTGCACAGAGCGTAACTCAGCAAACAGAAGAAAGTACAACTACAACGACTGAGCTTAGTATGTCTACTTCAGAAGAAAGCGCTCCTACTTCTACAGAATCAATGACATCAAATATACCGGAGAGTAGCGAAAGTATGATAGAGTCTACGACTGAATCCACTATTGCCACTACAGAAACCCCTATCGATTCTAACACTTCTGAACAAAGTAGCAAGGCTACAACAACTGAAGCTGCTGCTTCCACAGAATCCGGAACGTCTACGACCGAGTCTCAAGAACAGTCTACGGAATCCCAAGAACAATCGACAACCGAAGAATCGCAGGAACAATCAACAACAGAGTCAAAAGAACCATCTACTACAGAAACTCAAGAACAATCAACGACCGAATTACAGGAACAATCCACGACAGAATCTCAAGAACAAACAACGACTGAATCATCAGAATCGACAACAGCAGAACAAGGAGCACCTTGTTCTGTAGGCAATTTAACTGACGATCAAATAATTCTAGTTTGTCCCACTGGCTTCCGAAGGCATCCGAAACATTGTAATCTATTCTATCAATGTTCTTCCGAAGACAACATGGAAATAAAGATTCTCGTATTGAGTTGTCCCGAAAATACCATTTTTGATGAGAAAAAGATTCAATGTGTACCCGAAAGTGAAAGCAGTCAGCCATGCATGGGAACCAAGACAAGCGCCAGATTTTATAGAAGATTAGAAGATCATGCTTTATCACCTGTAAGTATTTTCAATAAGCAACTAAATACAGACTTATAACAAAAATATTCATTGCAAAATGTTTTTTTCAATTTTAGGTAAAAGTATCGTCAAATCAACTTTGTCCGCAAGAAGGACATTTTCCTTATCAACAAGGTTGCAGCAATACTTTTTACAAGTGTAAACGCGATGTCCGAAACAGTTTACAGGGATACCTCTATAAATGTCCCGAAAACTTTGTTTATTGGTCGGTCTCCAGAAGATGCGAACGTGTGACACGTCTCCCAATGTGTTCGCATTTGTCGTACAGAGACAAAATTGACTGGAATGATCGATGGCAAATACCGATCGAAGCTTTTAATCTTTCCGCCAGAAAGTTCTCTTGATTACTTAATGATATTTCCTATATTCTACACTTTTAGTAAATACGAGTTGCAAATTTGTCATAATAATATCTACAGAAAACATATATATTTTTTTAAATTAATTATCATTCTTGATGAAAATTTGGAGTAATTGAATATACAGGAAAAATTAGCAAAATTATAATATTAGCAAATTAATAATGGATTATTAAAAATAAATATGCTAGAGTAATTGCATACTTAAATGAATGATTAATACAATGTGTGTATGATGTGTTTGTTTATCTTTTTATAAGTTATAAAACATTCCTAAAATAATATTCTAATTAAACTTTTTGCTTCTAATGCAAAGAGTTATTTTTGCTAGTGCAAAAATATGTATGTATTATTAATTTCCAATAATTTACAATACTTTTACATTATTTAACAACATGGCTACGGAAGATCTCGATTAAAAATTTAATAATAGATCTTCGGCAGTCGTCTTGAATGAATTATTGTCAAACTGCCATTACGCAATTTTTAGTCAGTAATAGTTATGATAGTGAGTCTATTAATAATTATTGACAAATGTCAGTAACTTTACAATATGATGAATATGTGAATATGTGAATTGAGTACAAGAACAAATTTTCATTATAGAATTGGGGGATTATTTATTTTTGTTAACATATTATGTAATTCAGATTATTATTATTTCGTTATCACTAAATATCAAATGAAATAAAATATATATAAAAGAAAATATATTTGCAAAAATAAATAATTTCCAATTTTCATAGAATTATCATTCAGTATATTATTTTCAATTGCTAGTATTTGATACTGGGGATACTGGGGATGGTTGCGGGACTTGTATGCAATATTCTGATTGTAATTTTAACGCAATATGCTATTTTATATTTATTAATTGAATTTCATATCTCATAGAAAATATTCATAAAAGACACATCATTTAAAAATGTAGAATTTTGCTAAATGTGGCAGCTAGTTGTTTAGGATATACTGTGTAGAAATATTCATGCGCAATGTACACGCGTTTTGTATATATATCTTGACAAGTAATTTCTTGTAAGAAGTCAATGCTTTCTCACGAAGTATTCTAATGCATTTATCAAGTATTTATAGTATATGAATAAATTAAGATCAATACTTGTTCACAATTCTGTGACGTTTGCATGTTTATATTTGATCTCTATAAATTTGTATTAATAAAAATAGTATGTGTGTGATAAGAATATCGATATTTTATTTTCCCGTCCTCTTACGTCAAAATACTTTTTAGTTTAAAATTTTGCTTAACATTTCTTCTAAATATACATTTATATATGTATTTCACCAATCACCATCAATGAGAATAAAAAAATATTCAATAATATTAAAATCACTTTTCTTTGTACATGAGTATGAAAAATTAGAGTTCAAAAAATTTTACTCTATATTAATAATGTGTCTTCCCCAGCCATGATAGAAACTATCATGGCTAGAATAAGAAGTAATAAATAATCATTAATAATATATCGAGATAAAAAACAATTTTATGTAGACAGAAAATGATACTTATCCCAAGATTGCTTCGCCAGTGCCTGATCGATGTCTCACCCAGATCTCCTCACAGGACACTCGCGAAAAACACTCGCGAATAATATATAGTATATAATATAATAGTTAATTAATTATTATTAATAAAAATCTATCGCACAACACTACCCAGCAAATGAGAATGGATTAAAATGGATTGAAATTTTTTTCTACCCGAATACATATTTTAAAGCGAATATTTTTTTTGGATTTAATTGGATTCAATTAGATTCAATTGGATGCAATTGGGTTGAAAAACTACATTTCCTATTCAAAATTTTGAATTAAATGATATTCACAATTGTATGTTGTATGCAGAAAAAGCTAATATTTTTAGAAAGGCATAGAGATATGCTCTATGCAATTTCTATAAATGAATAAAAATGCAATTGAAAAGCATTAATTTAAAATTCGTGAATGAATATTTTTGAAAATCTGAATCTATTTCAATTCATTCTCATTTGCTGGATAGTTTCCCTCTTGGGAAATTATTTTTACACATAGAGTATGATTTTGTTCAAGTATCTAAAAATTTAGTTACACACATTAGATATTTTTAAACACTTAGGAGAAATCATTCTTTTCGAGTATATCTTCAAAGTACCTGAGCCTTCCCATTTCGCCAAGATCATACCCGTCCGGGAGGAAAAATATCATCTGAAATATACAAAATTATTTATTACTATACAATCAATTCACTTGTAAAAATGAAAATGGTGATTACATTATGTCAGTTCGTCACTATTGCGAAATAATTATTTAGGGCAGATAAAAAGAATATGTGTATATATAAATCTCTTATATTATTTATTGTTTTAATTTATCTGTAAAATATATATTATATATAATATTTGTAAAATATCAATCAAATGGATCACAGATTAATAAGAAAGAGAAACATTCTTTCTAATATCGGCTAATGTATTATATCATTCCCGGTAAAATAATCGTAAAAAATTTAATTTTTATACGCAATATCACGAAAGATGTTTGAAACGAGAAATTTATTAAATTATTATTAATTACACAAAGACTCTAGCTGTATTATTTTTGTGCGAAAATATCGTCGCGTAAAATTTGTATAAGAATATTAAGTTGCATTTTTTGTAACTTGTATGCAATATCACATTTGATTGATTTTAAAGTAAATTATTGAAAATTATATTCAATCAAAAGAAAAATTTTATGTTAATAAATATTGTTTACATTTTGGACAAACTCTCTGCTAATTTTACCGATAGTGTGAAAATGGATACAGTTATGTAGTACCCATTTCGAAAATGAATATACTGGCGGTAGTATACGGGCGATTTCGACGAAAAAGACCAAGCTGGCGCCCTCTTTTCTTCTTTTTCCTTTCTATATCATGGATTCAAAAAAAAAAGGTACTTTCTCACATTTTTCTCTGCTACGGCGCATTATGCAATAGCACTCTCTTAGCTTCGGCATGCGCGCCTCGACGATAAGTCCGGATCTACAATAGATGTTTTAAACCTTAAACCTTAAGAAATTGACCAAGTCGAATGTGAAGAGACTAATTGATTGTGATTCGTCCATTCCTTATCGCTTAAGGTTTAAAAATCTATTATAGATCCAGGATAATGGAGGAGTATTCAACCAATAGATACATATATGTCCATATCCATAGTCAGACTTTATACTTTATCTTTAAATTTATCTTTAGATGCTCAGCAGCCAATGAAATAATTCGCAGAGTCTAAAAATAAATTTAAGGAAGCCTTAAAGCCTGAATACGAGTATTAATGCTCATTTCCACCAACGTAGATTAACTTTAATCTCGGTTCAAATTAGAAATGAGATTAGACATTGAAGATTAAAGTCTGGTTCATACCTTGATGGAAAAATAGAAAGCGGTAAAAGCGGAAGCCAATCAGAACTTGTGGACAGGACAGACAAGCGAAATGTATCGCCTACTACTGCGAGTTCTGATTGGCTTCCGCTTTTTCGTCAAGGTGTGAACCTAGCCTGATTGAAGATTGAAAGATTGAAATTTAACCAATCAAAACAATAGAAGCTAAAATTCCTCTGTTCTCATTGGTAAAAATTTCAATCATCAATTTCAATCTTCTGTGTATATAGTCAGAGGTATATAGTCAATGTATATAGTCAGATCGATTATGGATTTTGAAAGAAGGTGAAAATTACAAAAGTGAACAAAGATTACTAGGTATTGATCAATTAAATTATGAATACTCTCACTATGAATTTGCTCACTTTTTCACTTCGTTTGAAGATACAGGCTGTGGTCAGAGTCTCGTTATAAATGTTTTGATGAACCAATTAGAAGAAAGAATTTTACAAATTGGCAATTAAAAATCGTTTCAATATCATGTTGACCATATCCACACAATCGACCCCCTGATTCCGGCCTTACTCTTCGTTTTTTTCTAATCTTTAGAATTAAAAAAAGTCGAAGAGTAAGTTGAACCGAGATTAAAATTAGTCTACATTAGTGGCATAAATCGGACAAAAAGTTAACCTGAGGATTAATTCTGTATCTTGAAATGAGGTTATTAGAATACTAATAATTTCATTAGTCAACATCTAGTAAATTTGCTCACTTTTGTAATTTTCACTTTGTTTGGAAATATAGAATCGATCCCTTGCTCGATTGTCACGTCGGCAGTTAGCCAATTCAATACTGAACTTCCTGATTTTTGAAAAATGAATCTATATCCACTGAACTTTCGGAACAAGTCCAACATAAAATCCAATATAAAATATCAGTGAACAGTGATATGAAAATGGAAACTGTTAGTAAGTCTGATGTTCAAGCATTCCTACGGAAATTAAACAATTGGACAATGAATTATGAATTTAATCAACCACCTTCACCAAATATAAGATATAAATATATGACATCGACAAAAAGTACAGTGGCAAGGATAGCTATACAATTGTTAACTCAGCCAGCTTTTTATACACAAGTAAATTGTCAGGTCTTTGTTATAAGATTCTATTTTTACAACTTTAATTTTTGACTTAGTGGAAAAATGCATACATACTAGTCACTATGAATGGCTGCGGTCGGAACCAATCGGAACGTGGTATAGGAAAATAGCCGGTTTCGAACGTGACAGCAGCATTAATGTTGCGCGATTCACGGTTATTTACATTTCGTTAAGAATTGTTGTGTCGACAATTTGAATGAAGATTACTCTTGTTTTTATGGAAACAAAAAAATTTTATAAAAAATGATTTCAGTAATTATATTTTATAGGACATTATTAAATTAATTAAAATATCAAACTTTAATTTTATAGAGTAGAATTGTGTTTCTAACCTATTATCTAAAAATCTACTTCTATATCGCGAATAAATTTTTTAGGTGTGTGATACTCTGAGAATCCTTCATTTGCCTCCGCAACTTTCTGATGACCGGCGCGATGCATTATTACAGAGATATGGTGCGACCAAGACCAAAACGATACGACCATCCAGCAAGTACACAATCACTTTTGCCAAATTCCTGTCCCAACAATTTGCAGCAGAAGCATTGCTGCGTCTGCATCAGTTAAATGTCAGAGGACAATATCTATCGGTTGAATATGCTAAGAAATCTATACCCACTGAACTTTCGGAGCAAGGCATTCAACATAAAATATCAGTGAACAGTGATATGAAAATGGAAACTGTTAGTAAGTCTGATGTTCAAGCATTCCTACGGAAATTAAACAATTGGACAATGAATTATGAATTTAGTCAACCACCTCCACCAAATATAAGATATAAATATATGACACCGACAAAAAGTACAGTGGCAAGGATAGCTATACAATTGTTAACTCAGCCAGCTTTTTATACACAGGTAAATTGTCAGGTCTTTGTTACAAGATTCTATTTTTATACAACTTTAATTGACATTATTGCAGCTGTACATGTATTTGTAGGTATTACACTTGATGAATAAGATGAATCTACCTCCTCCTTTTGAAGAATTGGAAATGGAATTTCCTATGCTTAGGGAAGTGTATAATATGGAGAAATACAAAGGTATCTAAAAACAGAAACTACAATTGACAGTCAATGTAATGTTACAAATGCTTTAAATGAAAGCATTTTTTGATTGCTCAATTAGTAAAACTTATCTAATTGATTAATCAATGCTACAAAGCATTTATAACGAGACTTTAATCAGAATAATGAACAATAATCAGAAAAAAATTAAATTCTTTCTGTTTAGATATATTCCCTGAGCGAGTGAATGAAGAGGGATCAGAGGAAGAAGAGTCCGAATTAGAATCAGATGGAGAAGGTAATACTCGACCTCTGGAAGTAATCCCTGTTAAAAGAAAAAGGCCACAATCTACAAAACGTATAAAAATTCCAAAGTTTGTGAACCCTGCTAAACATATTGTGATACCTTCATCAACGCAAAAAGTGCTCAAGCCAGAAGATATGTTCGAATCTATTCAACGCGGAGAAACTAAAAATCTCAAGATTGAGTTAAAAACTCTCGACAAATCATTGGAAACAACATATGGTAATCGAGACAGTACTGTAACCATAGATGGTGGATTTGGTTTAATATTCCCAGCTAATAAAACTATTGAAGATGCAAAAAACAGTGAAGAGAATGCAGAAATGCCAAAAAATAAATTTATAACTTCAGAGGAATTGGCGACTAATAAGATCTCTGCTAACGATCAGAGATTGCTTCCAGTGTTCAAAAATTATCACCCGGGCAAACCCTCCAATCGCCTCTACATAAAAAATCTTACAAAGCAAGTCGAAATGAAGGATCTACATTATATTTATGAAAGATATGTTATTGCAGGATTAAAAGATGCCGAAAATAAGTGAGTATTTTGCTAGTATTATTGTTGCTATTTATAATTTATGTTGTCTTATAATTTCTTGATTGATATCTGTATTCTAGATATGATGTACGTCTTATGCAAGAAGGCAGAATGAAAGGACAAGCGTTTATCACTTTACAAAATACTGTACAGGCAAAAATGGCTCTCGAAGAAACGAATGGATATATATTAAAAGATAAACCTATGGTTGTGCAATTTGCCAAAACTAGTAAAAGTTAATATATACTTCTTTAATCTAATCTTAACTTATTTCATATCGTAATTAAAATGTTAATTTAAAGATTTTGCTTAGAAAACAAATTGTAATAAACATTACAAATGCCCTTGCATCAGACTTAAAGTAGTTCTACGTTTTATTCAACAATTAACAATACCTAATTTGTTTCATTTGAGTAAGCATCCAACATCATTTAAAATGTAAACTTTGGTAACGACTTATATTTAAAGAATAACAAATCTTGCGATTCTTTAAAAGTCTCCATTGCAATTTATCTAAGCTAATAAATGTTAGAGGAACGGGACGAAAATATAATTGAACCAGAATGTCGATTAATATTTGTTTAAAGCTTTTAAGTAGTCACCACAGCCACATTGAATCGTGACATCAGAAGCGAGAAATGATATGTTAATTTTTATTACATGCCATTTATAAATACAGACAATTTGAATAAAACAAAATGATGAGATTGCTTTAAAACATTTGCAAAAATGGACAAAAACTGTGTTTAT